CACTGTGCAGAGGCTGTGCCGGGCACTAGAAGCCATCCATCGGGGAAGGAATCTATGAAGTGATGGGTCTCTGGCCCTGCTGCCCCATTGCAGGGAGCCCCGGCAAGCACAGGGCATACACCCCTGTGTGCACCCCTCCAGAATTCTGGTCCCTCTGCAGTAAGCCAATTTCTATGGGAGACCTGAGAACCCAAGGGAGAAAGGGTCGTTTTGTCCTATGGGCAAACGAATGGAGCACAGGGTGGAGCCGTGAGCGCACCTAGCCTGCATCTATCACCCGTTTAGCTGGATCCTCCAGGTACATCCAGGCAGTACAGGACAGAGCGAGTTGTCCTCCTGGTTGTCAGTCTCAGCAGGGAGGCCAGAGACTGAACCAGCCTCTCACCCCAAGAGGTCAGCTCCTTGCTGGCCTGGCTTGAGGTGCACTGGTGGGGACAGATAGCCGAGGGCGTGGGAGACCCGGGTTTAGTTCCCTGCTCTGCCCTCGCCTCCCTGTGTGCCTTGTCTTTCTGTGCCTCATTTGCTCCACCTCCCAGGGGTGCCACGAGGATGAACGTATGAGGTTCTCAGATCCCACGGTGACGGGGGGCGGATAAGTACCATAGCGAGATAGGTGCATCCCAGAAGCTTGTGCCGTGCTGCCCATTGTCTTCCTCCAGGGCTGCTTTCCCCAAGGACCGAATTCAAAGGGGAGAAATGAAAGCCGATAAAGGGATGGAACCAATTGCTCACCAAACTTGGCACACCGGCTCAATCCAGCTTGCTAGCTTTCCCACATCTGCAGCCCTCCTGCAAAGGCAGTGGGAGCTGAGAGTGCTCAGAGCTACTCAGCGCCTTGCAGGATTGATCCTGGAGAGAACTGCAGGGAGAAAGCAACGGGCAGACCCCGCTCCTGCCATTTGGAGGCTGTTATTTTCCAGGTAACAATGCGTGTACAGAGAGCGGAGTAGCATCCTCCCGAATTTGCAGAACTCCTATTACCTTTAGTGGGGCAAGCTCCGGCAGTGTCGGCTTAGACTGGGCATTAGGGGCCTGTGCCATTGTTCCTAGGGGTCCGGCTCTTAATTGTGAGTGTGTCCTGCAAAGAAAGGCTCCCCTCCGTCACCCTGTGCGTGCCATTGTACTTGTTCAATGGCAGAGCAGCAGATGAGTCCCAGTCCAGGAATGGAGAAGTTGCTGTAATCTGACACGCTCTGTGTCTGTCTCCAATGATAAGATCTCCGGAGAGCCTGGAATGAACCAAACATTAATCAAACTGTTGCGCTGCTCCGGATAATGCAACTGGGAGGAAGTTGCAGAAACACTGGATTTCATACTAAAAAAAAAAAACATTGGGGCCAGTTTGTGGAGCCCTTAGGGGATGACCTTGCTCTTGGGAGTAGAGACCCATTGGCTTTAATGGGATTGTTTGGGGGAGCAAGTCCTCATATGCACAGCTAAAGGATGCAAAAAAGAGCCCATTGAGATTATGGCTGAATTCATGTCACGATGGGCGAGGGTGTAGCAGCCCAGCTGATGGCAGTGGGCCAAACTCAGCCCTGGGGTAAGCAGGAGAAGCTCCCCTAAAGCCACTGATTGCGCCTGCTTCCACCAAGGCTGACTTTGTCCTGTTTTGTGTAAATGGGGAGGGAGTGGGTTCCATGAAAAGTAGGGAAGAGGGCTCATTTGTGGACTTATTTTGATGAGGAAACAGGGAAGACTTTGCTGCTCACAGAGTGGACTCTGCACACGCAAGAGAACACACAAGACGCTGTGATGTTTGTCATCGTCAGATCTGACAACCGCCGGGCGGTGCGAGAACTTTGCCCCCATTTCTGATTAAATGTATCGCCCTTCCCAGCTCCAGCCCTCTGTGCTGTCAGCTCTCTGTTCCCCACTGAGCAGTCGCGACCTCTTTCTTTCCTCCGTCTGACCGGCCTAAAAGAAGACAAATAAAGAGTTGTTTTATTGTCCGTGAGGGAGGCTGGCAGGTAGCCCTGGAACTGTTCTGAATGACTCAGATATTTACGGGGCAGCAGTAATGCAGGATTAGGCTATCTGATGGCATTTCACTTTGGATGACAGAAATGCCACGAGAAGACCAGGTCTCTTCATTTTTATTGAGGCCTGGTAATTGGCTCCCAGAGGAAGAAAACAGCTCATGAAAAACAAACACAAATGCCTGGATTGTCAGGTCTCTACTGATCTCTAGTGCTCAGACTCGGGGGACAATCCTGGTACCTACCAGCAGGAATTGGCTCCCTGCATGTTTAGAGACAGCCAACGAGAGATGAGAGTAGGACCTCATTTGTCATGAGTCCTCACAATGCCTCCCCGGACTGGCTAGGGACCATCAGTGGGACCCTCGTGCTCTGTATCTCTAGAGCCAAGCACATTCAACGCAAACCTGCCTTATAGTGAAAGGTTTGAGAAGCTCAGTCTGTTAAATAAGAGAAGGTGAAGAGGTGATTGATCTTAGTGTTACATGGGGAGTTTTTATGAGAGTAGAAGGCTCTCTAGCGGATGAAGGCAGAACAAAATTCAATGGCTGGAAGTTGGAGCTAGATAATTTCAGGCTCGAGATAAGATGCATGTTTTTTTAACAGTGAGGGTAATTAACTCTTGGGACAATCTACTTAGGGATGTGGTGGAGTCTCCATCACTTGGAGTCTTTAACTGAAGATGGAATGTTTTTTTCTAAAATAAACATGCTCTAGCTCAACCATCAAGATATGGGCTAGATGCAGAAATTACTGGGTGAAATTCTCTGGCTTGTGTTCTACAGGAGGTCAGCTAGATGATCACAATGGGCCTTTCTGGCCTTGCAATCTATGGATCTTTGCTGTTTTTTCTGAGGGGCCGGAGATGGATAACCTTTCTTCCTCATCTCCCTCCTCATCCCTTCTGTGGGCAAAATGCATCCGATCCTACCTTCCCAACTCCACCTCCTGAGACCCGGAAGATGGCCCCTCTCCCAGGGGGGCAACAACCTTACACTCCTTGCCCCATCATCCTGCCTATTCTTTGCTAGCCCGCTTCCTGGTGTGACTGGCGCCCACCAACCTCCCTCCACTTAATCCAAAGTCAGGCGAGGTTTGGGGAGAAGCAGCAGGCTGGGAAGCAGGGTGCTTTGGGGAAGCTTGCTGGGAAGAAGGAGGGAGCATTCCTGGGGCAGATGAGGGCGCTTGGTGGGAGAAGGGGTGGGCAGGGAGTCATCCCTCCAGGAGCCCCGACCTTAACACACATGAAAGTGGCTGCATCAGGGCTCATTGTTTAGATGAGGGTCCCCGTAGGCTCCTGCGGTTGTTCGTTAAGCGCTGTATAGAAGGCAGCGAAAGGCTGTGCGATTGCATCGCTTTGGTCTCCGTTACTAGCCAGTGGAGCAGTGCTCTTTGCCAGTACCATCCTGGCTAGGCAGCTTTGCATTCGCAGCCCGGCAGCTGAATGCTGCCCTTTGCTTGGGACGGCAGAGAAGCGCAGGATTCTTGCCTATTTCCCTCTGCTGCTAGGAGAGGCTGGCCCAGCAGGGGGAAGCATCATGACAAATAATCTCAAGTGCAGGTGCCGGAAGTTGGGCCCTTAAACCAGTGGTCCCCAACCTTTTTCATCTGGCGGGTGCCAGACGAGCCACGGAGGACCGTGGTGGTGGACGAGAGTCCGCCGAGAAGCGGCAACGTCAATAGGCGAATCGGCAGCATTTCGGCGGTGACGACTCTGGACGATGCTGCTTCTCAGCGGCATTTCGGCGGATGCTCGTCCGCCGGCCAGTACGCGGGCGCACTTAGACACCTGGCGGGCGACATGGTGCCCAGGGGCACCGTGTTGGGGACCCCTGCCTTAAACCCATGACCTGGTTTGCAGAGTTGTTAAGCGCACACAGCTCCCACTGGTGACTGAACTTTTGCTGCCCTCGGGGCTCTGTGCTCCTAGAGATCGCCCCCACTGACACACACAGCTAATCAGCTTTGCCTTCACCACTTCAATTGTCTGCCTGCCTTCCCGATCTCCTGGCACCTGGGAACGTCGAATGAAGGCTTCAGTCCCACTGATTAGAGCATCTACTAAATGTCAGCTTTCATAACCTTCGGCATGCTGGGAAGGCCTGGAGCTGCAGGGAACTTTGCTTTTCAATGACCAAGAGGATTTGTGAGAGCAGAATGCCAACTGTCAGACGTATGTGTTAGCTCACATTCCTGGGCCCTGAAGCTGTAATGAATTGCACCAGATAGAGCCCAGGACTGGGAATCAAGAAACCCAGGTTCTAGACCTAGTTGTGGAGATGGGCTGATTTTAAAACATCTCCTGGAGTGACTGGACTGAGGGGTTCGGTACTGGGATCTGGAGCCTTTAACTAGTTATGGGTCACCGGTTCAAATCTGGAGTTGACTGAAAACTGTTGCAATCGCAGCCTAAGCCTCATTCCTAGGCAACCTGCCCACTAGATCTGGGTGAATTATTTGCATTCAACAATTTGTTTGTCAAATGTAGCCTTTCTTCCTTTGCAAATTATCGGCAAACAGACTTTGCAATGGTCAGATTGTAAAATGCGTTCATTACTCAGAATCATTAGATTAATGCTTTATGCAGACGTATTGCATCAGTGGTTAGGCTGCAGGGTGCTCACTGTGACAATTGCCGAGTGATTGGTCACCTACTGGCAGGCTGCAGGGGTCCAGCACTGTGGCTTTGGAGCCAAAGCTCAAGAGATCTCTTGCTTCCCATGCTGTATGCTTGCAGTTGGCAGATGCCCATGGTATCTGTGCGTAGACGCAGCCTCTGAATGTTACACTGAGCTGAAATGGTTGAACTTGAGACCCGACTTCCACTTTCTAACTATGCTTTTGGGCTTAGGCGCCTCATGCTCCCATGGTGTCTCTATGCAAACTTTTTAAAAAGCCTTAAAATCAAATGCAGAGGTGCTGGAAGGTGCTAGAACAAAACTGCCAAGGACAAAACTTCCCGTCGGTGAGAAAAGGGTTTTGAAATAACTGGAACGTCTTTGTGTGTGTTTGTATTGACAGGATGAAGCTGTGCTGCCTCCTGCTGGTGACTTTATGGCTGTGCATGGCCACCCTCAGCAGCAGCTCAGGTAAGTGAGCGGTCAGATTTTGTTTTAGGAAATGGCAGGCAGTGTCTTAGGTTCCACTCTTCCAACTCAGGACAGGAAGCACAGACTCATCTCTGGGCCTTTGAACTCAGCAGGGATGGATTTATTGCTTTAAAATTGTTGTTGTTTTTATATTCCTGGATGCAGTGGCCATCTGGGCATCTGAAAGAGTTTTGCAAACACAAGCTTCACAACACTCTGGTCACTAACATTATCCCATTTTACAGCTGGTAAAACAGAGACTCAGTATGGGGGGGAAGGAGAATGACTTGCCCGAGGTCACTTAGTGAGTCAGGCAGGGCCGGGAATTGAACCTGAGAATCTTTCCTTCCTGTTTGGATCCGGAACATGAGATTCTGGCCCTTGAAGTCTGACTCACGTCTCAGTCATGGCTGCTGAGAATGGAACTTCTTGAATGGGCCAAGTTCGCATGCCAGCCTCATTGAGTCACGTTCCTAGCAGGAAATATGTTGTAATCCTCAAGGGCCGTCTGGCTCGCATTCAGCTGGGCTGCTCATGAAGAGGGGGATTGTATCTGTATCGGCCCCAGGCTTCCTATCTGGGGCGAAGGAGAGATGTCGTGATTTACAGAAGGAAAACGGAAAGGGGCGGGGGGGGGGGGGGAACAAGCTCTAGCTTTATTAGGGAAAACCCATTAAAGAATGAACATTCCAGGCGGCCAGTGGAGGTTCGGTATGTCCCTCGTGGGCATCGGCCTTGTTGCACCATTTACCGAGCCTGCGCTTGGATAACCCCCCCCCGGAATCCCTAAGTGGGACCCCATCCCTTGCCCATTGGAGCTGTCCCGGCTCTGCTGGGTCCCGAGAGCCCCAAGCCCCCGGTGGGTGGGAAAGCGGGTCGGATTCACCCTTCCGTGCATTTCTCCCGTGGAATCAAAACTGCCCTGTCTACAATGTAGACAATCTCCCCTTCCATTTCGGGTAGGGTGCTGCTCCCTGGCAGTGCTCCAGAAAGCGTTACCGGAGCGTTTCACGCCGCCGCTCGCTGCGGTGACAAATCTGGGAAGCCCAAGCCAGTGAGCAAAATCCAGTTCCCCGCAGTGCCGTGGTTTGTAGCTCCTGGCCTGTTGCCTCTGCAGGTGTTGCTGGATTGGTTTAGTTTTGTGTAATAAACCAAAGTTATAAGCCAGAGTGGCTGGGGTTACGCTTTGAGACCAGCCAGCAACGTCCATGTCTCCCGTCTCTTTTGGGTGTTTTGGTTCTGTTCGACTCAGCCGTTGATTAAAAACCTGTTAGACGCAGTTTGAGGTCCCATCGAGGTGTAACTGGGTTTTGGCGGCCGGGGCAGTAGTTGCAGTAGCCTTGTCAAAAGGTATAAGCTAAGCAGGGCTGCGCTTGCATGAGATGTCCATGGAAACCCCAGAAAAAGTTCCTAACTGTCAGGGTGGTTAAACACTGGAATAAATTGCCTAGGGAGGTTGTGGAATCTCCATCTCTGGAGATATTTAAGAGTAGGTTAGATAAATGTCTATCAGGGATGGTCTAGACAGTATTTGGTCCTGCCATGCGGGCAGGGGACTGGACTCGATGACCTCTCGAGGTCCCTTCCAGTCCTAGAATCTATGAATCTATGAATCTATGAATCTATGCTGCAAGGAGCAGCCAATGCTCCTGCCTGGTGTCACGGGCACTGGGCTGTGTGAGACGGGAGCTTACAGAGAAGCTGTGGGAAAATGAGGATCCTGAGATCACCACATACCAGGTCAATGGAAAGAGCCCCCTGGGCTTTGGATCAACCCATTGCTCGTCCTGCGCAGGGAAAGGGTATCCTGGATTGTAATCACGTTTGCTCTGCTCTTCCCCCTCCCCCAATTACTCTTCTGTTGTGCAGCTGCACAAATAGAGAGACCACGTGAGGGTGTGGTGTGGAGGTTTGCTGGGGAGCATCTCCCCTGTGCCATTTACCAGTATGTAGCAGGCACGGCGGTGGAACGGTCTTGGGCTGGAACGTGTGTACGAAGTTAGAATCATAAGACACAGTCGGTATGAGGGGAACAGGTAATTGCCCAGCTCCTGCTGTCTGTGTGAACGTACCCACCTTTGGCTGCTGGCGCGCACTACTGTATTCAGTCTGCCTTCTTCTCTTCCTCTGGAATTGTGACCCCAGCCCCTGCAATCTTGCCTTGGAGCGGAAGGTGGGGGATTTTTCGGTCATTACTACGTTCTACTTAATTGCCTTTCATGACCAACTTTTCTTGTCTCATTGATGCTGATTCTTTAGCGAGCTGAATGTGAGCCTGGCTGTCTCCTCCCAGCTCAGTGTATTGCTGAGTTAAATCGGCTCTGCTTAAGATGGTAAGGCAGCGGCACCTAAAGATGGCAGGAAGCTGCTAAGATGATAGTAGACCAGTGGTTTTCAACCTCTTTTCATTTGCAGACCCCTACCAAATGAAGGTGCAGACCCCTTTGGAAATCTTAGCCATAGTCTGTGGACCACAGATTGAAAACCACTGTAATAGAGTATTGCTGGCTGTTGCTTCTGAGATGGGTGTGCTGGAGGAAAGCGCAGATAAGATCGGATGAAGCTCGCTCTGGTGTCTGCTAGAGCAAAGCATCAGGCGCTTGTCTCCGTATCCACTAAGAAACAACCCACATCGCTGGCTCGCCGCCTGCTGTTATCGCGCAATCAAACACTTTGCAGGGAGGGCAGCTTTCCAAGGAGTCAAGACAATTAAAAGGGATGCTTCTATTTGGCAATGGCGTAGTAGCAGATGCCAGCAGGGTAGATGGCTTGTCGCATAAGCAGCGCTTTGTAATGCCATCTCAAGATTTTAACTAGTGATGGACAAAACTGGAGGTGGGGTTGGTTTGGCAGAATTTCATTGGTCAGGAGTTTTGAAAAACAAAAAACTGAAAGGAACTGGCAAGGGCTTAGAGCTGGGTCCTACTTCTTTTGAACCACGAAAGTTTGTGGAAGTTGGGATAGAGGGTTCTGGATTTGGCATATCTGTAACTTAACCTGCTTTAAAGTCCTTCCCCTTACAGCAATTTACAAAAGAATGTACCCACTTAATAATCACATCGATTATAGCTCTGAGCGCTTTATAAAGGAGGTCAGCATTATTATCCCCATTTTACAAATGGGGAAACTGAGGCACTGATTGAGGAAGTGATTTGCCCAGGGTCACCCAGCCGGCCAGTTGCAGAGCCATGACTAGAACCCAGGTCCCCAGAGTCTCAGTGCCCTAGCTCGTATCGTGTGTGTGTATATCTGTGTGTGCATGGGCGCTTCTGTTGGTGTGTTGTGCACGTGTGTGTGGAGGAGATGGTCTGTGTGTCCATAGGGGGCGTTCCTAATGGGGGAGTGGGGAGCATTGTGAACAAAGCTGCAATGTTCCAGAATGTTTATTTTCTACTTTCCAGAGGTCGAGCGACACCGTTATTTTCCCTCCTTCCCCAACACTTTCCTTTGTGCAGAGAGGAACCCCCCAGCTTTGCTCAGCTTCTGAGCAGGGTCCCGGCTCCCTGCTAAGCCTCCTCACCCGTCATACAGCCAGGCTGAGCAAGGGGGCAGGTTTTTAAAGCAAGAGAGCAAAGATGATAATAAAGAAATCTGTCTGCGTGCGAGGTTGGTGTTGTAACACCCACAGCCCGGGCCATTCAAAGTTAACTCCCCTCCCCCACCTGAGCTGCTTTTCCCCGTGCATCAGAGAAGAACTGTAGAAAGAGGGAGTCCTCCCTTCTCATCCTTTTCTCAAGGAACATTGAACACGTGCAGTGGCCTTAGAATGACCTTTGTCTCTTCTCTCCGGCCTCCTGGGTTGGTGGTGGATCGTTGGCTCCTGACACACCGGCTGGAACACGTTTGCCCACCTCCCTGCACCTCGCTTGCTCCCCGTCCCTTTCCCAGGCAGGGTTGTAAACCAGCCTCTCCCCTGGGGCCTGCAGCCGCTGAACACACTGGTGTTTACTGATGCTGGCTTTCCACGACCTGTCCCATCCCACTTCTCCTTTCCCCTTCGGCAGGCATTGTTCCTCTTGCTGACACATTGAGATAGGCTGGTGGTGTAGGGTGTTGGACTGGGACTCAGGAGAGCTGGGTCTAATTCCAGTCTCTATCATGAACGCACTGCGTGACCTTTGGCAAGTCGCGCAGTCTCTCGGGACCTGGGTTCCACCAGCTGTATAATGGGTATAACAACACGTAGCTCATCAACCCTTTGTCAATTCAGATTTTAACTCTTCAGGACCGGGACTGTCTCTTCCTGTGTGTTTGTACAGCACCAGGCTCAATGGGGCTTCAGTCTCGAGACTGCAGCAGTACAAATTAATGCTAATAATAGTGACACTTGCATGCATAATTTTAAAATTAAATTGTATTGGCATCTCCAGGGTGAGTATCCATGGATTGTAATAGAGTTTCATCAGCTCTCTCTGTTAGGCATCTTTAATGTGCCCTTTGCTACAGTATCTGAGGGTCTGTCTACACAGCAAAGAAAAACTCGCGGCTGGCCCGTGCCAGCCCACTTGGGCTCGGGTTGCAGGGCTGTTTCATAGCTGTGTAGACTCCCTGAGTTGAAGGGTCCTGCAGCCCGGCCTCCAGCCCAAGCCCAGAAGTCTACACAAGTCCCTCAAGCCACAGAGCGAATGCTAATTCCACCTAGCTTACCTCTGACAGGTCTAATTTGTGCAGGGAACGTTTCAGAGACAGGAAACTGCCTGTGCCTGGATTGTGAAAGCCAGAGCCCAAGGTAGTGTAAGCCCACGTGGCTTCAGTGGAGCTATGCCAGCTGAGGATTGCACCCTGAGTTCTGGACGGTTCTCTTGCACTGATCCCCGAAGCCCTCCTTGGTGTCGTTGTTCTACTTTGTAGTATGGCGGGAGTGGAGCTATCCCGTCAGTATTTAGAATGAAATCTTTTGTGTTGTGGAAGGATATTCGCGGGGCTTGAAATGTCCAAGGAAGGACGAAATGCCCTTGTCACCTGTTGAGACGGACATCGCCAACTGAAGTGTTATGGGCTTGCTGGCATCGGCAGTAAATACGTTTCTGAACTTCTAATGAAGCTTAACGGATTGGGGAGGGGGAGGGGTGCAGCAGGGAGCTGGCACACAAAACACTGCTGGATGCAAACACATCAAGATCAGTATCCAGCACAGATTAAATCCCCCACATCCTGGGCAAATGATACAACCAGCTCTCTCCAAGCCTGACAAACCCAGCAGGTTCTGCATTGTTCTGCGACAGCAGCGGGCTAGTCACAGCAGCAAAGGGCATTATCAGCGTTGAGAAAAGAGCCACTGAACAGCTGAAGAGGAAGAAATGGCTTTTGTGTGTGTGAGAGATCACGTCACTTGTCCTCCTAGACAAAACCCAACCTCTCAGGCACAAGGCACCCACTATGGTAAATCTAAATCAGCCTGTGGGTATGGCCGCCTGGCTGCATCCTTTCACAGCAGCCTCAGCCAGGTAGGAGGGGGTAGAGGGGAGCCCGTCTCATGCCCTGAAAGGTTTATATGTCAGATGCAACACTTGTTTCTGCTGTCCAAGTTGAGATTGACGGTCCTTGGCTTTCCTTCCTGCGCTCTTGGGGCGTTTATCAAGATTTATGGAGCCAAGAGGGCTGGGGAGCAGGCAGCCTCTCTAAAGCCAGACCCCTGCTTTGTGGTGAACGGTGTAGCCGTTCTTTATCAGCATGGCCGCCTGCTGCATTTTGAGTTCGTTCACTGAGGTTTGCAGCCCGCCACCTTCTCCAAGTTGGGATTCCTCAGCACGTCTTGACGCCTGAATCCGTGCAATGGACTCAGCAGTTGCTGGCCAGTCCTTTCGTGACAGCCTTACTAAACGGTCAGGAAAATTTACCCAGCCCAGGTAACACCTTTCCTTGCCCACCGGTTACCAGAGTGATTGACAATCACGGAAAACCACAATTCTCTTTTACGTGGCCATCGACCAACACCAACCCCCCACCACACCATGGGCAGTGCTGACTTGGGAGCTCTTCCAAAGTACAAAGGATTGTTCAGGACTGCGGAGTTCATTGGCCTTGAGCCCAGAACTTCAGTATTGCCATTTTTACGTAGGTTTCTTTTCCCCTCTGGCCCTGCCATTTGAAGAAATAAAGCCAACTGACACTTACCCAGCCCAAGGGGACATAGTGAAGTCAGTGGCACATGGAGCGCAGGTGAGAACGAACCCCAGGGAGCCCTCATGTACAGTCCCCTGATCTAATCCCAAGACATCACTCCCTGTTCACAGAGGAAGGACAGCACTCCCTTCCCTTAATGGGAAGCAGAGGAAGGGATGAGGCTGTAGGCTTTCTTTGTGAAAATAAATACCCCTAAAGCAAATAGCAGTAAAGCTTCATCATGCATTTAGCAGGCAGTCACTGACTGAGCAGTCTGCTTTGTTAACAACTCTGAAGTCCTGACCTTGTCTAAATCAAGTTGCTTGGACCTCATGCTTCTAAATAGCTTAGCAATGTATTGGTCACAGTTGGCCTTGTCCATGATGTATGTGTCCCATTCGGCTTTGAGCGTGATGCTGGTTAGCCAATGTTTTGGACTTACAGGATGAGGTTTTCAGTAGAACTCAGCATTGGCCTGACTCTGTTTCCAGAGAAGTCCCATAGGGGTTTTACCACTGGCTTCACTAGGAGCAGAGTTAGGCCAATGCTGAAAACACCAGCCAGAGAGTTTAAAGGGAAATAATTTTTAAAAATCTAGTTTCACTTTTCACTCTTTATGCCGTTTGCTATCTGCTCTCTGAAGAATGACATGACACCGCTCAGCTTGGCTTCCTGTTGACAGTCCATTTCACTAGGTTTCTCCTGCTAGTTTGGGTTTCTCACGTTCCCAGGGAATACACGTTCAGTTTTCATTGACATTTTTAGAATCACAGGAAAAACATTTCTATTCAGATTGGGCCAGATTCTTCAATTCTTACATTTAAGTAGCACTTCGTTATGCAGGCTAGTGTTGCTCAGTGCAAGGGTAGCGAAGTCTGTCCCGTTAGGTTGTGTTAGCCCCGCTCTTCACCTTGTTTGTTTTTAAATGTCAATTTGGGGCCAAAATACTTTCCACTGTCCCTTTGAGGAGGAGGAGGATGTGCCAAAAGGGCCTGATCCCTGGCAGGCAATGGGAGACAGCAGGATTGGCCCAAAGAAAATAGGTCTGAGGACTCTGGTTTTCTGTCTAGCAAAGCTCCTCCGATCTCTGCACACATGAAAGGCTGTGGTAAATCCCCTTCCATGTGCACTGTCACGGTATCTGACGGCACTGCTGCTTCTGACTCAGTTTTCTGTGTTACTCACTCTGGTTTTCTGGGTTAGCACAAGTAGGAGGCCTTGCACTCCCACCAGACAGCCCTGTTTCCCGTGTGTGTGCAGGGCCTGCCCGCTGAGGCAGGATGTGTTGTCACACCACTAGCCTCTCTCGGCTCGCAGAGGAGAATTAGGAAACACAGCGGTTAGCCAGCGCGGTGGCTTTGGGATTCACTTGCATTCCGTGTCCATTTTATTAAGGAGCTTCCATGCGGAGGCAAACACGGGGAAAAGAGATGCCTGTTAAAGAACAATTGACCTTTTGCCTGTGCTTTGTCTTTATTCCTTTGTTATTGACGAAGATGAATATGGGTTTGCTCTGCAGCTTTCCTCCTCCCAGCCCAGCGTCTGCCCTCTGTCAGACCCTGCAGTGAGCCCCCCTTGATCCTGCTTTATGACGTGTGTGGCCATGGGAATGCATCTCAGGGCTCTGTGCCTTTTCCCATGCTGCTGCTTAGGTCTGGAGCACCCTCCCCAAAGAAGTACGCTGCGCCTCCTCCCATGCCAGGTCCTCCCGCTGTACCACCAGCAACCTTGCCCAGCCCCCATGTTTCCTTGCCTACACTATAATAGAAACAGGTCCCTGTGTAGTTGGTGGCACAGTGCCACTGAATTCTTCAGCAACAGCCCCTAAAGTCCTGCGGCAACGTTAACCGATTCTGCCACCAGGAAATACCCTACGGTCCTGGCCCCTGCTGCCCCACACAAACGCACACACCGCTGTGGCATACAGTTCATCAAGGAGGCATTTTCAGGTAAGATTTCTCTCCATGCTGTCCGGGAAGCCTGGCTCTACCCACGCGAGTCCTGTGAGGTTGCCCTGGCAGGGACGTATATCTTGGGGAATTGTAGGAAGAACACCAAGAAGAAGCCAGGTTCCAGGTGCCCAGTATTCGGAAGGTAGCATCCCCAGCTCTGTCTCCAATGACGCCACTAGACATGTTGATTTCAGTGGGAGCAGGAGCACGCGCAGCAGTTCTTTTCTGCCCACATGAAATCTAAGGCATCTCTTCCTTCTGGCCCTAGAACGCTGTGATGACTGGGGAGTGGACACCATGAAACAAATCCAGGTCTACGACGGGGAACCAGCTAGGATCAAATGCCCGCTCTTCGAGACCTTCTTAAAATACAACTACAGTACAGCCCATTCGGCTGGCTTAACCCTGATCTGGTACTGGATTGGGCAGGACCAAGCCCAGGTCGTGGAGGAGCCAATCAACTTCCATCTCCCAGACAATCGGATCAGTAAGGAAAAAGACACCCTTTGGTTCCGGCCTGCCCTTCTCAATGACACTGGGAATTATACCTGCCTGCTCAGGTAAGCAGCGCAGTAGGCATCAGACTTTAGGGCACGCAAATGCCTTTTATATAACAAGAAAATTGTGTTGCCAGCTTAATATCTTACTGTCGGGTGATGGCCACTTACATAAGAATTAATGGTGAAAGAATGTGACAGTTACAAGAATTCTCAGTGCCAAGCCAATTTATATTATAATAATGCTTAGCACCTTGCAGACATTAATGCACATACCTCTCCGTGCTAACTGAGAGTGTCCATGGAGAGAATATTGGCAAAATCCACACGCCCTCTCCAGTAAGGCGCAATCTCTATATAGAAGTGGAGATAGCTTCAGAGGCAGGGTAATATGTCAACTGGATGCTAATTTGCCAAAGTTTCCTGACACCCCAAAAGAGTTCCAGGGAATTAAAAACAGCTCCGGGTGCAGGAGAAAATGAATGTAGCATCCCCAAAGCAACAGAGGAGATCTCAGTCTGTCTTCCTTTTTCACGTCTTAGCCCCGTTGTTTTCATGACGTTGGTAAAGGATGGTGCAGTACATGAGTTGTATTTGCATGGGGAAAACAGTCTTCAGGTTTTTCTAATGCACTGTGCGGCTGCTGTGTCTGTCTCAGTGTGTCTGTCTGGAGTTTTCCTACATGCAAATACGACAATTCAAGCTCTATCTATCTCATCAGAGTCGTCATTTCTCTGACCCAAACTGTGACTTTTAATTTTATTTCATTCATAATGCCACATGTCTAAACTAGACCACGCTAATCGCGTTTCCCTCCTCTGTGCTTAGAAACACAACCTATTGCAGCAAGGTCGCGTTTCCCCTGGAGGTTGTTCAGAAAGACCAAGCTTCTTGCGTCAGCCAATCAATAAAACCCACCGAAGAGCTGTTCTATTTGGAGCATACTAACGAGAAGATCATTTGTCCGGATATTGATGGCTTTTATCCTCCCAGCGTAAAACCAACTGTCAACTGGTACAGGGTAAGAAAGGGAGTAGTGGGACTGTAGCCTGGGCCAGGCAGCGGGGTGCAGGGCTTCTCATCTGAAAGAGCCAGCTGTGCAATCCTTGCCATAGAAGAACCAGGAGGCCAAATTCTACCCCCAAACTCCCTGATGCAGCTCCGTTGACATTACTAGAGCTGCTGCCACAATCTCGCTCCCTTTGAAGTCAGCAGTAAAACGTCCCTTGCTGGCACTGACGCAGGATTGGGGCCTAGATTAATCAGACTGGGACTTTTCAGCTTGGAAAAGAGATGACTAAGGGGGGATATGATAGAGGTCTATAAAATCATGACTGGTGTGGAGAAAGTAAATAAGGAAGTGTTATTTACTCCTTCTCATAACACAAGAACTAGTAGTCACCAAATTAAATTAACAGGCAGCAGGTTTAAAACAAACAGAAGGAAGTATTTCTTCACACAATGGACAGTCAACCTGTGGAATTCCTTGCCAGGGCATGTTGTGAAAGCCAAGACTATAACACAGTTCAAGAAAGAACTAGATAAATTCATAGAGGACAGGTCCATCAATGGCTATTAGCCAGGATGGGCAAGGATGGTGTCCCTAGCCTCTGTTTGGAAATGGGCAACAGGGGATGGATCACTTGATGATTACCTGTTCTGTTCATTCCCTCTGGGGCAGCCGGCATTGGCCACTGTCAGAAGACAGGACACTTGGGCTAGATGGACTTTTAGTCTGACCCAGTATGGCCGTTCTTATGTTCTAACAAGGAAGAGTTTAGCCGCAGGGTGGCCTTCTGGAGAGGGCAGTAGACCGGGACTCAGGAAATCTTGGTTCAGTTCCTGGGCTGTTGAATGACCTTGGGCAGGTCACATGCCCATTCTGTGCCTCAAGGTTTCCCCATCTATAAAACAGGGCTAGCCATACTGACCTCCTTGGTAAAGCGCCTGGACATCTACGTCCCAATTATTACTATATTAGGTGAAGAGGTTGGAAAGTGACGAGTGATTTTGGGGGGCCCGACTGGAGGCACCGCCTGAAAATTAGGCCCCTATCTGGTGTCTGCAGTTGGGTGCTCCTCACTTTTTAAAATCTTGATGTCTCCTTTGAGGTTTTCGAGATTCCGCTTGCCGTGGCTAGTGACAGGCATGGCAGTGTCCAGCTCCGTGTCTGGCAGGGCTAGAGGACACAGGGGTCAGAATGTTAGAGGCTGCATGCCAAGCCTGCGGGGAGAGAATCCCCTAGGTAGTCTCAGTGGAGATGCAGCCACACAGGGCTGGGAGACTAAAATCGCTGATGTTTTGTACAGCGGGTTGAGATTCCTAGATGGATTCCTAGAGATTCTAGCTGCTCACTAACGACATTTGGGAATTAGTGTATCTGGTCTAACTTCCTTTTGGGCCAAGAGGAATAGCTTCATTCTGGTGGTTTACATGACTAATTTGTATCATCTATTGATGTTCAAATATTGACAATCAATTAGCAGAATGAAACAAAGAGCCCCACTTAAATCATTTTGCAGACAGCAAGCCGTAAAAGTCATTTTGCCTAGTAAAAGCCATTAACAATGGTATATTACCTCTGTCTTCAACTGTCACATTAAGATAAATCTGAGTTGGAAAGGCACCATTCAGAAATAATCACTTGGAAAACGTACAAATCTTTATCTTTTATGACAGTCAAGTTATCATCAGCATATTTAGAGGATATAAACCTTTCTGAAAAGGGGCCTGTAACTTGGCACTTGGGACAGGTTCCCTGCTTTTTCTGACAAAGAGGAAGGCTTATTAAGGTTCCTGTCCTGTGGATTTCTTTTGGTCAGTTGCTCATTTTGGGTCAAATCCTCAGCTGACATCAATCAGCGTAGTCTCGTTGAGAGCAAAAGTGCTATGCCAGCTGCAGACGTGTCCGTGCAACTTGGTGTCAGTTTGTGAATAGAGTTAAGTTTAGTTCTTGTCCTTTTTTTTTACTTCCGTATCTTTCTTTCTTCTGGGACCCTCACCCTTCCAGCATCTCAGCATCGCTAAGAGCTCTTTCTCTTATAGAACCTGATAAGTCAGAGATGGAATAAACCTACTAGGGTCATCTACTCCTTCGCCTTGTCTATTCAAGATTATTCCTTGCAGTACCTGCGCTCGCTGTCATAGAGAGAAAGAAGAAAAACCCAACACATGAAGGGGAGCAATGGAGACAAAATTTTATTGAGGCAGTTTTGTTGGTGCCCAGATACTCCAGTGATTAAGAACATAAGAACGGCCGTACTGGGTTAGACCAAAGGTCCATCTAGCCCAATATCCTGTCTACCGACAGTGGCCAATGCCAGGTGCCCCAGAGGGAGTGAACCTAACAGGTAATGATCAAGTGATCTCTCTCCTGCCATCCATCTCCACCCTCTGACAAACAGAGGCTAGGGACACCATTCCTTACCCATCCTGGCTAATAGCCATTAATGGACTTAACCACCATGAATTTATCCAGTTCTCTTTTAAACGTTGTTTTAGTCTTTTAAACGCTGTTATAGTCCTAATTAAAAGCATTGGAAGTGCAAAGGTGGTTAAGGTTTTACTTGCCAGCGTGTTCCATCACTTCTCTTGTAAACCTTTCCACAGCCCCATAGCTCTTGTTCTGGGACTTTTCCCCTAATCTCCAGCCAGAGGTTTTCCTTTTTAATTTTATCCCATTATACCCCTTGGTACTGAGCTAAATAATTCTTCTCCTTTCTTGGTGTTTGTACCCTCTAAATAACCTGTAGGTAGTTACGTCTCCCCTTTGTTCACTGCTTAGCTAAACTGTGTGCATTTATGGGCTGGTTTCCAGAGGTGCTGAGACCCGCAGATCCAGTTGGCTTTCGTGGGTGCTTTGAAAATCACAGCCTAAAAGAGCCTAATGGCCCAGGAGTTTAAGGGATGTTATGGCAGGAGACACTAGCAGGTGCTGTTACAGTCTCACCTGTTCGCTTTCTTACAGCGCGAGCAGCGTACAGTCCGAAGACATGCTGTATGGTTAGTTTTGTGATGTGGAATCTTTGGGGGAGCTGTTATAAACAGTAAGGGAGTTTGCTGTCTGTCTCAATCTCTCTAATTCTTGAGGCAGAGTTGCTCCCTGGGAACCAGGCATTGGCTGATATTTCTGAAAGAGGGGATTTGCCTGCAGGCTGTTTGTCGCATCCTCTGTTCCAGCACAGGTGCCTATAGTGTGAAAAAAGAACTTAAACAAAGACAGTACCCAAACTCCACATCAGTAATCTCTCCATCAATAGGAAACTGACCTGAAGAGCCCCAGCAACTCATACCGCTTAGAAGAGAGGCGAAGAGGAATTAGACATACAGTTCAATGGGAGCTGGGTGCCTGATTCCTTCCAGTTCCTATCCCAGCCTTAATCTTTCCTGAAAAGTAACTTGCTCCATCTGGGGAAACCAAGGCAAAGGGTGGACAAATGTCCCCCTCACCTTATTGGACTCATGAGATTTTGATGCTGTAGAACTTAGACCTTAGCCTGAATTGAATCAAAATCCAAATACTGCCTGCTAGGCTTATTCCAAGCAGAGCTTTAGATTTTTATAGAGGGATTGAAAACAAGTTTCTGAATTTTTGTTCCAAAAATGTAAGTGTTTTGCTGTCTGCTTCTAGAACTGTGTGTTGGTGAAAGGCTTCCACGAACGGTTCCCCAGTGGCCCAACACTCATCATTGGCATTGTCCGCGCTGTGTACGAAGGCAACTACACCTGCATTGTGAGCTACACCGAGAACAGAAGGACCTTCAACCTCACCAGAAGCATAAGGATGAAGGTAGTAGGTAAGGAGGATAAAAAAACCATGCAGAATTGTAGCGGCAGAGATGAAAAGATCTGGAGAAGGCTCTTGCGGGCTCAATCAGTGACTACTGGTCCCATCTCTGACTCCTTGGCGTAAATGAATTAATTAATCTGCCACCACCAGGTGTGTATTTCGGTTTGCTGGGGTCAGCCTCCCCCGGCGGGTGAATGCCCAGGACACATCTCCGGCTGGGTGAGTAGTGCGAGTGAGGATGAGATGATCTGGGCTGGCCTCTGCTGGCATCGCCTCGTCACGGTCGGTCTATGGTGATCTCAACTCACTATTAGAAACAGGGTCTCATTGCTCCAGTGGCTGCTGTATGTTTCCTACCATCTCTCAGGCTGTATTTTAAAACTAGCAGGCTCATCTGTTCAGATTGTAGGATCTTCAGGGCAGAGGCTGTCTCTTCAGAGCTGCCTACTGTGTGCGTAGCACACACATGTGGTGCTATGCAAGTAACAAAGAACGCTCAGTCTAAGTGGCAGCAAACGCAATGCAGAGCGTAAAGACCTGGTAGACACTAGAACGTGCTTGTGTCACGTGGTAACAGCTGCTCACGGAATGCATGGTAGGAGGAGAGAATACTGCTGGCAGGAAAAACCAGTTTTTGTTGTTTTTAAAGAGCAGCAGTAGAAAAATCTGTGGGATAGGCTGAACTGTAGGTAAAGGCCGAAGTGCCTAGTTGGAGGTGTGAGTCCTCCGGACTGCAACTGGGCCCAGATCATCTATCCAGACAGCCCTATACTTGGGGGTTTTCAAAATCTGGATTGGGCACCAAGTTTTGTGACTGGGACCACTCTCTACTTAGATCAGCTTCTGCTCTTTGGGACATATGCACAATTCTTAGCAACTCCAGCGGGAGATGGGTACACACATCTGGGGGCACAGGGAAGCAGGGGGTGAGTGACCCTAGTGTGCGGTCACAGAGGGTAGGGTATATGCAAATGGCTAGTTACTATAAAATAGTCTGAAATCATTCAATATCCTAACGAAGACTGATTGTGTTTTCAACTGGGACTCCGGGGGTGGGATTCTGTTTTCTGTTCTGCAGGGTCTCCAAACACGGCAATGCCACCGCAGTTTCTCTCTCCAAATGAGAAAATAATCTACGAACTCGAAGCAGGTAAATCACAGCGGTAGCTGCCCACAGTGATTATCTTAAGCCATGTCATTAACAAACACAGGGGTTCATTTCGGTTGCCTGCTTTCCCACGGCTCTCCTTCACGTCTTTACTTGAAGCATATGGGGGCCAGGATTGCTTTGCAAGCAGCATGGGATCCTCTCTCTTTTCTGTAGCTTCCAAATTGCCGAAGCCCAATTATGGGACACGAGAACACAGCTTAAGACTGTTCTTTGAGCAGACAGACTTACTGAAATAATAAACATGGAAATCAGGCTCCAGCTGGTAGGAGCAGCTTCAGAAGCAGAGAAAGCACTGGAGAGAAGGGGGTAAAATGGGGCGCAGCTGGGGGCGTCCGTTCCTCAGAAGTGGCCAAGACAGGGATCTGCAGACATTCAGAGAACTTTCTACAGGTTTAACTGGACTTTCTCTGCCCCATGCTGATTGTCCGGTTGTGCTAACCCTCCCCTCCCACAGTCTCCTTAGCTTATCTTCACTCCACACCTGCCTGTCTTCTCTCCTGCCCTCTCCCCCACCCCTTTCTTTCCATTTAGCCGATCTCCTCCTAAAATTATGCCCACCCTCACATAGTTCACTCTGCTGGTGTGTTTTCCCGCTTCCCCGGCCCTCTGCCTGTCTGGTCTCTTTAAATTGTTAGCTCTTCGGGGCAGGGCCCGTCTGATACTCTGGGTTTGCACAGCTCCTAGCACATTCTTCGTTGATCGTTAGGCATGGACAGCTTCCAGGAGCTGCAGTATTACAAATAATAAATAAATAATAAACATGATTCATAACAAGGAGGAAGATCTTGTCCTGAAGGCACTGGATTTGGGCTCAGGAGATCTGGGTTCAGTCCCTGCTCTGCCACAGACTTCCTGTGGGACCTTGGGCAAGTCATTTACTCTCTCTCTGCCTCAGTTCCCCATCTGTAAAATGGAGACAATAGCCCCGTCTGACCTCCCAGGGGTGTTGAGAATAAACCAATTATTGTGTGTGTGGGCGGACCCCACTGTCATGGGGTTCACTGACAGCTGGGGGTGCCTCCTCCTGGCCGCTCTGGGGACCAGCACCGTCCAGGGCCAGGGCCCCCCTTCTGCTGCTTGCTGCACATCCTACTGCTGCACTCTCTGTGACACTTGGCCCTCCGGCCAGGTCGCTGTGCGCGCTTCCCCCTTAGGGGGTATCACAGTCTCTTCAAAGCCATCTTCCCAGTCAGTGCCTAACTGGTGCCACTTCCCCAGTGGCAGGTAGGGGAACCCGGGCCCACCCTCTACTCCGGGTTCCGGCTCAGGGACCCTCCACTCAGCAGCCACAGGCTGTTCCACCCTGGACCTTGCTGCCTTTTCCCTGAGCCCTTCCTTACCTTCCGGCTCTCCCCACTTCTCTGGGTTTGCCAGCCCCACAGCTCCCTGCTCCCAGGGAGTAACCGTAGGCTACTTGCCTCGGTAGCCCCAGACGCACCTCCCTTTTCCCTGGCAGTAACTGCAGGCTGTTTCCCGCGGCCCCCTCTGTTATCAGCTTCCTGCCTTTATAACCCCAGCCCATTCCTTCTCTGGGCTTCCTCAGTCAGCCAGGGGATTATTGATTGGCCTCCTCCTTAGCCTACATTAACCCCTTCAGGGCAAGTATGGGGTGAACACCCCACCACAGGCGCTCACAATGTGGTGGTAGGAACCACTTAAGTACCTGGTTAGGGAGAGAGTTGTTTGTTTGTTTGTTTACTGTTTATTTGTAAAACAAAAGTGAAATATTCCCACTATTGCATGGTTATCAGACATTTGAAAATGTATTTTGGCCACATTCCTGGTAGTGTTTGTGTCTTTTGCTAGTTGCTCTTCAGAATCTTTTTTTGACCTGCCTGATTATACTTTTACACTTGACGTGTCTGAGTTTATGCTCCTTTCTATTTCCCTCCGTAGGATTTGCCGTCCAGTTTTTCAAGGATGTCTTTTTATCTCTACCCGTCTCTTTCACTCTGTTGTTTAGCCGTGGTGGCATTTTTTTGGTCCTCTTCCTGTATGTTTTATTTGCAGTATACATTTAGTTTGAGCCTCTGTTATGGTGTTTTGAAAAAGCTTCCATGCAGCTTGCGGGCATTTCACTCTTGTGACAGTTCCTTTTCATTTCTATTTACACTCGGGCTATGAAAGGCCTTGGGCAGTAGAAGCGATGCAAGGCTGCTGCTGCTGCTGCTGCGTCCACTTCACCCTAATCCTCTGCTCCCAGGTGCCGAGCTGGTTCTGCCCTGCGAAGTTTACTTCACCTTTCTGAAGGACTCCCGAACGGAGCTTTGGTGGACGGTTGATGGAAAAAATACAGACGATATCACAGACCTGAAAATAAAAGTCTCCGAAAGGTAACGTTTCGTAACGTTCATTGCATAGCTTTTTCAGCCCTCTCCGCTAGCCGCACACGGGATCCCACAGAGAGAGGCCTGGGGTATTCAACAGCACTGCCCCTTTTGGCAACACCTGGAGCTCCCAATGGAAAAAGCCTGTTCAGGTTATGGGCAAGTCTCAAAGTTTAGGAGCCAAGGGTCACTCGTTTCTTAGTGTTAGTCAGATCAAATCCCTTCAGGGTGCAGTGCGGCACCCGTGCGTAGTTATGATACTTAACCACGATCTGCTCATTGTTTGTCACCAAGTTTTCTTTCAAAAGAGACGTCGTTAAGAGACTCCATAAGCTAACGAGAGCTCATCATTGGGAATAGCATCACAAATTGGCTAGTGTGTGCCACTGCCCTCTAAGGAACATAAGAACATGAGAACGGCCGTACTGGGTCAGACAGTCATCATTTTGTTCATAAGACTATTAATAAATATGATGGGTAGTAGAACCAATCCATAATTAGCTTGGGGATGAAACAGAATTAATTTGAAGATGAGCATTATCATCATTAGAATGCCATGTACATAAGACTGCAGGCTTTACTTACAGGATGGGGCACTCTATCCTGGGAAGCAGTGACTCTGAAAAAGATTTGGGGGTCATGGTGGATAATCAGCTGAACTTGAGCTCCCAGTGGGATGCTGTGGCCAAAAGAGCTAATGTGATCCTGGGATGGAGGGCAGGGGGATATAAAGTAGCAAAGCGATTATTTTACATCTATTTGTTGCAGTAATGTGCAGCCACTGCTGGAATCGTGTGTCCAGTTCTGGTGCCCACAATTCAAGAAGGATGTTGATAAATTGCAGAGGGTTCAGAGAAGAGCCAGGAGAATGATTAAAGGATTAGAAAACCTGCCTTACAGTGGTAGACTCAAAGAGCTCCATCTATTGAGTTTAACAAAGAGAAGGTTAAGGGGTGACTTGATGACAGTCTGTCAGTACCTACATGGGAGACAAATATTTAACAATGGGCTCTTCAATCTAGCAGAAAAAGGTAGAACACGATCCAGTGGTTGGAAGTTGAAGCTAGACAAATTCAGACTGGAAATAAGGCATAATGTTTTAACAGCAAGAGTTATTAACCATTGGAACAGGGCTGTGGTGAATTCTCCGTCAATGACAATTTTAAAATCAAGATGGGGTGTTAGTCTAGAAGATCTGCTCTATAAATGATTTGGGGCAAGTTGTCTGACCTGCACTATACAAGAGGTCAGACTCAGTGACCACAACTCTCCCTCCTGGCTCTGGAATTTGTGAATCTATGACTAGGTATTACAGTAGCACATAGGGGTTTCAACCAAGATTGGGGGTCCAGTGTTGTACAGACACATATTGAAGGACAGTCCCTGTTTCAAAAAGAGTTTACAGACTAGTCAGACAAAACCAAGTGGAGAAGAAAGGAAATCTTATTATCCCCATTTTAGAGATGGCTAATTGAGGCACAGAGAGACTAAATGACTTGCCCAGGGTCCCACAGAGAGTTTGTGATGAAGGTGGATACTGAACCCAGATCTCATGAGTGTTTGTCCAGTGCCTTATGGGAAGCCCACCCTTCCCCTCTAAAATGCCCCAGGACACCAGGTAAACAATCATATTTCGCACGCTGGCAATAAGCAAAAGTAATGCCAAGAAAATTAAACGAAACCAGTTCACAGAGCAACCAAAAGGTCAAACCGTTCTGCTGTAAACGTTCCTGTGAAAAATGAAGCAATTCCTAAATATGGGTGTGATTTTGCAAAAAAGAAAAGGCTGAATTGTGTGTGTATGTGTGTATATATATAAAAATCACAAACAGTGCAGCCAGCGTTAGCATGTGCAACCCTTTAACTTTTCTGTTCCAGCGTCGTTACTGACGACCTTGGACACAAGCAGGTCACAAAGACTCTGACCATTCCCAAGGTCACAGCCAAGGACTTGAAGCGTAACTACACCTGTCATGCCAGAAACACCAGAGGGGAGGTTCACCACACGGCCCTGGTGAGAATGAAAGGTAATGGTTTTGCTCAACCCCGGCTTAACGGATGCAGCAAGGCAAAAATCTTAGACGCATGGTCGAATGTGGAAGAAATTTCTTGGGGCAAGATGGGCCTTGGCTGAACGCGGTCATACAAGGGAATAGAGGGAGTAAATATTTCCTGCTCCCTCTGCTCCTGTGTAGCCTTCTTACTGCTACCCAGATTGCACTTCCGGCTATAGGGATGAGAGTGGAGGCTGCATGCCTGATATTCCCCACTGCGCTCAGGTGGGTGTGGAGAAAGATGGGGTGTGAAACCATGGTTCCAATCCCTCTAGGCACCAAGTGGAGCAGGGCCAAAGAGGCTAGTAAGTTGCACCCTGAAAGGAAGGAAGGGACGAACTCTCCCTCAAAGCAAGGGAGAATTCTGTCTGAGTCACGGTTCCTTGTTGGTGCCGCTTCTGGGGTGGCGCAGCGACTTGTCGCCCTTCCACGGGCTGAGCCTAAAGGCTCGATCTAGCCCTCGGGGAGCAGGGGCTCATGGTGTTCTGCCCCGAGGTGTTTTCCAGTTCAGGGGCCGGCACCAGGTTGTTACACTATGTCAGCGGTCAGACCCCTCTCGGAGGTGCCATCCAGTTGTTCTTTAGACATCTGTTATCTCCGTGGTGCATGGACACGGTTCCCATTTATCTCTGTATCGCGGGAGGAGAAGATACATCCTGCAGCCGCCAGATCTGATGGCTTTTCTATGTTCATTTCTGCTGACCAAGCTGGGTCGTGTGGGAAGCTGCGGCCTTTTTTGTACTCTGTCTCTTCTTTTAAAGCTCAAGATCCCGGTCACTGAACTACATAAACCATTCTGCCCTAAATGATGGAAGAATATTTTCCTCCAACCCCGTGCCAAGCGGTACATGCAGTGGGTGCTGTCAGCACAGGATGGGGGAGCTTTTGCTGAGGCGTGGCATTTCTGGACTGTGCACCAGGAAATCAAAAAAAACATGGGCTGATTAGACTTGCCGGTAGAGCTATGCGCTGACCTCCCTTTGGAGTCTAGCAATGGTCACTGTCCCAGGTGCTGTTCAGGCTCTTTTCCCTGCTTTAAACATGCCACCGCTTTGCAAGAGGGTCAGTGGAAACTCACCATGGCATGAGCACACAGGTTCTTCCAACCGAAGCTGTTCACCCCTGTTAAACACAGTATTTTTAGTGTGGGGTGACCCAGGCCCTGTGCATCAGTAGAACAGGCCCGTGAGTCTGGATTTCACTTAAAGAAACAACTTTAGCCAATGTCAGATAACTGCCCTTCACTGGGAAATGCTAATCTGAGCATCCTCTCTGACCCTGGGGCCTCTTTGAAGAGAAAAGACGTTTGTGGTCTCTCATTATGGGTTTCCTGGCAGAGTGTCCCTGAGGCAGGTCACCACCTTACTGCTTCCCCGCCAGTGTGACCGGACAGACAGGAAATGCCTTTTGGACGTTGCTGGTGCTTGAAACCCTTCAAGGTCACGTTCCTTTGAGATGCCCAGAGGGAGACTAAACAGACCTCAGAGCATGAAACACTCCGCACCGTGCTCTGGTTTTGGTTCCTGCCTCGGTCACTGTGGGAGGGTGATCTAGGACTGCCAGGACTGTGGGCAAATTCCAGATAAAAAGTGTAATTCGGAGACATTGACTTCGCAAGCCGACTTTTTCTAGAGCTGTTTCTCTCTTAACCTGAGAGGTATTTTTCCTGTTTCACACACCCGTGTCACAGCAGCCAAAACCCTTTCTTCAGGCATGTCCGCACCAGGTTTCCTTAGCCAGGCAGACATTTCTGTTACCTCACTCACCTCAAGTGGGTGACAGCACTGTACAGAGACTGCCCGGCGGCACCTCAGGAAAGACTGCTGTTTCTAAGAAGCTCCAGACCGGAGTCTGCCCAGTTTAACTTATTTCAAATGCAAGATGCCAAAAAATAGCCTTTTGGCTCCTCATGTTCTACTCTGCTGCCGCCAGGGTTGCTGGGAGTTTAGACATGATTGACTCGAAGGAAGGCTTTCCTCACTAACGACCACTTCGCAGCTATTCTCACCCCCTTTTCTTTATAGAATTGTCCACTCGCGACAATCTTTGTGTGTCTCTTCAGACAGGCGCCCCAGACAGAGCATGCAATTCATCAAGGCCAGAGTTTGGTTAGAGCCATCTATCTATCTGCCCACCTTAGGCTTTTCTCTAGCAGTCATCCCTGTAGTGTCTATGCACTTACTTCTTGTCTCTGGATAGGAAAATGGAGATGCCTGGCAAGCTGACCCTTTGATTAGAAAACACAGCCATCCAGGACCTCACAGAACACTGTTTCTTGGCTGACTGATGCTTGACTGTCTGCAACTGTCTCTCTTTCCCTCCTGTCCACTTTGTCAGACCCCAGGAGAGTTGACTGGAAGCTTCTCTTTCTGTAGACAAGTTACTTATGTCCTCTTTTTTGCTTTCTGCTCCATTCCACAGCAGAGTGCAAGAACCAGCCTGGACCACTGCAGGCTAAAGTCGACTAGCTGCAGACCATCACATCATGTCACTCGCGGCTCAAGCTGGCCAGGACCTAACCTCTCAGTACCATTTGCCTTATAAATGTTAACAAGTGGGCTTGTATTTCTTTTATGTTGGCTATGAAAAAATTTCCCCCTCTCCCTGCCACTGGTTTATATTCATTTCTGGCTCCTGGTTTTATTCTTCTTGGGATTGTCTCTTTCACGGTTCCGTGTATCTCTTGTACTGTTTGCTACCCATGGAGACTTGGTGGATTCGTTCAGTTTGTATATTCTCTTTCTGGTGGTTTGGTTTGTTCGCTAATAAAGCTCATTTATATTCACGAGTTTTGTGATGCTTCTACTTCCTGCTGATGGCTCTCTATCCAAACTGCCGCTGCACACGTCACTTAGTTCGGCTGTGCCCATTAAAAGAGCAGTATTTGCCTAGTGATGCCACACAGTTACCATGTTAATTCCTGTTCTAAGTATGAGGGAAAAACAGGGGCATCTCAGATACTACTGTTAGCAAATGCTGGCTTCATGAGAGAGTCTGTCTTGCTTAGGACAAGTCATCTTACCTCTTTGCAAACATTTCAGTCTTTCCAGTGTTTTCTCAGAGCCTTCCTTCTGGTTCGTGACTAGAAACAGTCGGGGGATGCTACTGACATACTTGTTATCTCTTTGGGACAAGGCACGAGAGGAGCATAAGATGGTGGCCATGAGTTATTCCGCTCCAGGCTGGAGCTGTTGGTTACGGCCTGGCTTTCCCCGTATCCATGCGCCGATCACACCCACTGCACTTGCTACATGCTGTTTCCAAGGCTATGATTGTTCCTGAAAAGGCGGCTTTCACAATCGTACCCTCTAGGGCCAGCTTGAGCCTTTGGGCCCAGCCCAGAGTGAGGGCCATCCTGCGGCAGAAGGGAATTGTAACTCAGAGATTCCTCCCTGGCCTCTGTCTTGCTCCGGGAAGATGCGGGGAGTGACCCATCTTCAGTGTCTGTATGGGGAGCAGAACTGGCCCTTCAGTCATTTTGTCTCCCTTTCAATTACCTCTTTCATGTTGCAACCGCCCAGCCTCCTAAAACTGCCCAGGGCTCGTGTGTGTGTGTGTGTGTGTTTATTTAGGCATTAGCCTTTGATGTCCTGCAGAAACCTCCATTTACAGATGGGCTCACATTGTATTATGCCCTTGGGCTGCCTGTGATCCAGCCATGTGCCCATTAAAATGGAAGACCAGCGTATTCCATGAAAAAAGACCTGTCTGTTTTTAACCCCAGTTCTAGCTCCAAGGTACACCGTGGAACTGGCCTGCGGACTAGGATCCACCGTCTTGCTGGTGGTGATCCTGATCGTCGTCTACCACGTTTATTGGCTCGAAATGGTTCTCTTCTACCGGGCTCACTTTGGAACGGACGAAGCCATTCTAGGTAAGGGTTTCACAGAGTTACAGGGCCTGCTTCTTGCTGCCAGTCCCTTTGGTTCTGGAGATAACTTTGTGTCAGGCCATTTCTACCCCTCCAGAAGCAGGGTATCACTGACCCTAAATATCCTTAACTGTTTTCCCTTTTCGGGGTGAACGGAGTGCTTGCGAGAAGAGCCAGAGGCAGGGTCTAGGAGGGTATCCTTGCAGTAGGTGCGGCATGGCCATGGTAGTGTAAGCTCTCCACACATTGCTTCATGGGACCGTCTCGAGGGACAGGGCTATGTTGTCCGGTCTCTGGCCTCTCTGCTAAGGGTGCGGAAAGAATGGTCTTCTGTCTCGAGCACAGAATCAGGCTTCTTATGTCACTCTGAGCTCATCCCCCAGGCACGCCGCACCGCTATTTCTTCCTATGGAGAACTGGGATGATAGTAGGTCCCTGGCTGGAATGGCGGGTTTGCTGCTGATCCCGTGAATGTGTGCCAGGTGCTTTGAGTCCGGCCGAGGCTGGAGAAGCACAGAGCCTTGTCTGGCGAGATGGCTCGTAGGTACAGGTCCCCGGCGTCTGTAAGACTCGAGAGGCAGCAGGGGAGGCGGGGGCTGAATGGCGGAGGAAGGCACAGGCCGTAGCCAGTAACCGAAGTGTCTCTCTCAGACGGGAAGGAGTATGACATTTACGTGTCCTATGCCCGGAATGCCGAGGAGGAGGAGTTCGTGCTGCTGACCCTGCGTGGAGTCCTGGAGAATGAGTTTGGATACAAGCTGTGTATCTTCGACAGAGACAGCCTCCCCGGGGGAAGTGAGTATGTCCCGGGGGATGCCCGCCGTTCATGCCCTTCCCCTTTAGTAGGTGGGAGGCCATGGTGATTGAGAGGAGGGTGAGAACAACCTGGCCTTTCATGTTACACTTTATTTCAAAGCAACGTCCCCCACGCCCTTAAACATCCCTCGGAGCAGATTCCGGCATCTTGCTTCACGGGGTGTTGCAAACACTTGGAGCCAGCGTGCGGGGCGCTGCCGTGGTCAAATGACAGTGGGTATTTTTCAATGCTCTTTCCAGGAGGAGTGCTGAACTGCGCTCTAAAAGCACCACAAGGCAACCAGACCCCTATCCTTAAATAAAACTTCTGAACTGGCCTGAGGAGGAGAGGATAAAGTTGGGGGGGGGTGGACTGAGGAATAGGGGATTTATTGTACTAGCCCAGATCCGTAATCCATCCAGTGCATTACCACGTCACTGACCCTGGCTAGCACCCGCTGCATCAGAGGAAGGTGCAGTAAACCCTGCTATAGCAGTGATGGGATGACCAGTCCTCAGGGAAAGTTTCCTACTAATCCCCATTAATTAGAGAGTAGCTCATACCCTGGAGCATGTCTATCCTTAGTAAATATCAGCATATTCATAACCCTGAATAGCAAATACTACATTTGTATTTTTGGGGGGCCCACCCATTACTGATGGACAGGGCCAATGGGCTCCACACCCGGGAGTGGCCAAATCCAGGACCCTCCTTGGATCAGTTGTACAAACCTGGGGTTGCAGAAGCAAAGATGCAAGATCAGCCCGTGCTCCAAATGCCCCATCTCCTGGGGAACCCCACATGGCTACAGGGCACAGAGGTGCCAGGACCTCAGTAGGAGGCTAGATAAGGGCCACCGCCACTGAAGTCAATGGAAAGACTGCTCTTGACTTCAGGGGACTTTGGGTGAGGGCCTGGTTGTGTCAGAACGTGTGCTGGTAAAAATCACTAGCTAGGGTGCTCCAAAGTAGAGGCTTGTGCACTCAGTTACCCCAAACCAGGAGTGACTCCGCTGGAGTCATACACCAGTCTGAGCAGCTGCAAGAGATCAGAATCAGACCCTGGGTCCTTTTGCTCTCCTAGTCCCATGCAGAGTCCGTTGACAAGGTGCTTGGGCGCCACCCCTTTGACAGATAAGTAAGCAAAGATGAATCACCAAGTGGGTGACCAGCCAAAGCCACTGGGTGGTTGGTCAATGCAAAGGCTGCACGAAGAGGTGAGCCGTACGCCAGCTTGTTTGTTTTCGCCAATGGTCAGGCTCTGGCAGATGCTCGGAAGGACCAGGCTCCTGCAGCCAGCCCTGGATAGTTCAGTCCAGCAGCTGTTCACTCTCCGTCGTTCCCGTCTGCCTAGCTAAGGCCAGTGGTCAGTAGACGGAGGCCTTGCATCCCACAGGGTGTGAATGCTGAGAGAAAGGGGAAGGAGCGTGGCTCCTCCTTCCTTCCGCCCACTGACAATCCCAGGTGGGAGGAGGCTCATAGATCATAGATCATAGAATATCAAGGTTGGAAGGGACCTCAGGAGGTCATCTAGTCCAACCCCCTGCTCAAAGCAGGACCAATTCCCAGACAGATTTTTGCCCCAGATCCCTAAGTGGCCCCCTCAAGGATTGAACTCACAACCCTGGGTTTAGCAGGCCAATGCTCAAACCACTGAGCTATCCCTCCCCCCACTCAGAAGAACCATTTTTATGTCACCAAACCATGGAGCCACAGAGCAGTTCCCACCAGGTGTTTGCATGGGTGTCACTTGACAGCATCATCTGGCCCTTTACAAAAACTTAGAGATTTACAGCAGGCTCCAATCCTGACTGGGGGCTTTGGGTACCGACTCAAAGTGAAAATAGCAGGTTAGTTCCGCCCCTGCCAAGCACCAGACAGCAGAGGGAGGGTTTGGTGAACACTGATGATTTAAGTTGTTTTGTTTTTTTCTAGGCTAAATCTTCAGGGTTTATTCTACTTCTTAACACAATTTTGAGGCAGCTGTGGGCTAAAAAGTGCAGTTCTGTGCTGCGAAGAGACTCTGTAAACTTGGCCTCTCCTTCCGCAGCAGATCTGCTCCCGGTGCCTGTTAGCAGTCAGATCAGCAAGTTGATATTTTTATGGTTTTCTGCTCCAGTTCACCTTGCAGAGCTGATGCTGCTCTGGGAGAGAGAGGTTCTGTCCCTTCTTGTGCATCAGCAGGATTGATTCATGAAGTTCCAGTCGTGTGTTGGCACAGGTGTCACTGGAAGGCATAGTTTAGCCTACCGTCTCTTTATTGCTGGTGGTGATGTACAAGAAGGAAAGAATCCAGCTTGGCTCTCAGATCCCAGGTAGGGTTTGCAGGGCTGGCAGTTAGACATAAAACGTATTTGCGGGCAGGTAAGTTGGAGTCCCTGAGAGGCGATACACTTGGAACCCCCAATGTCATTTTTGCAGTAAGCTCCAGGTAGAGCAGGTCATTAAGGGTGAGATGTGGCACAAAGCCAGAACTAAGGTCCCATGGCCCCAGAGTAGGAACAATGATGGCAGAAACAGGGTAGGCCTGTGTTGATGGAAGATGAATGGGAGGATCCTCACTCAATGAGGAAGGAAGGAAAGATGGTAACAAAAAACGAAAGTACTTCACTTAGGAAGGAATAATCAACTGCATAAATACCAAATGGGAAACGACTGCCTAGGAAGGAGTATTGCAGAAAAGAATCTGGGGGTTATAGAGGATCACTGACTAAATATGAGTTAACCATGTAACACTGTTGCCAAAAAGTTGAACATCATTCTGGGATGTATTAGCAGGAGTGTTGCAAGCAAAACACGAGAAGTAATTCTTCTGCTCTATTTGGCGCTGATAAGACCTCAACTGGAGTATTGTATCCAGTTCTGGGCACCACACTTCAGGAAAGATGTGGACAAATTGGAGAACATCCAGAGGAGAGTAACAAAAATGATTAAAGGTCTAGAAAACCTGACCTCTGAGGGAGGACTGAAAAAATTGGGTTTGTTTAGCCTGGAGAAGAAAAGACTGAGGGGGGACATGATAACAGACTTCAACAAATACATAAAAGATTGTTATAAAGAGGAGGGTGATAAATTGTTCTCCTTAACCGCTGAGGATAGGACAGGAAGCAATTGGCTTAAATTGCAGCAAGGGAGGTTTAGGTTAGAAATTAGGAAAAAACTTCCTGTCAGGGTGGTTAAGCCCTGGAATAAATTGTCTAGGGAGGTTGTGGAATCTCTGTCATTGGGGGTTCTTAAGATTAGACAAACCCTTGTCAGGGATGATCTAGATAATACTTAGCCCTGCCTCAGTGCACAGAGCTGGACTAGACGACCTCTCGAAGTCCTGTCCAGTCCTACATTACTATAATGAAGCCAAGCACGCATGGGGCAGAATGTTTCAAGAGCAGATTGGCTGGTTGCTTTAGGAAGTGCTTAACTGTTTCCTTTCCTTCTGGTGTTGGTCCCAGATGCCCATTAATTGACTGCTCTCTTCCCTGCCTCGTTATGGTTCACGTCTCTGCTCGTTATGTTCCACAGCTATTTTATATCAGCAGGAAGGACAGCTCTGCGTCTGACCTACAGCTCCACTGTTCTGTTCTGTTCTTGCCTGGCTCTCAAAGGGTGCTGGCTGCTGTGATTCTCTCATAACCCAGCAAATGCACATTTTCCTTGGGAACTAACTATAAATCGTTCTCTGCCTTTCACTCTGGTGTTCTCACCCTGCTTTCTCTCCATGTGCGATATCACCCACTCTGCTTCCTCGGGGACTGGTCCAGTTCAAAACAACAGAGCATCTTTCCTCTCAAAGGGTCCCAAAGCGCTTTCCAACCAGCGTGCACAGGGATTGCTTCATCCGCCTTGTGTGTGGAACCCAGGGGTTGTTTAGCACAGGACATGAGGAATATCTTGTCCATATAAATTGCCTACAGTGAAAAGGGCCATGGGAATTTCAAAGGCCGCTGGTGGTGAGTGTGTGAAGGTGGCATTTCCAGCAGCATGGTGCCCTCGCGCCGTACCAGAACTTCAGTTCAGCGTGACTCAGTGGGACAGTCATCTCTTGAGCTGGCCAAAAGTTATTCACACATTTCGGTACATGATTCAAATTATTTGGTGAATGTTTTTTACTGTTATTCAGCCAGCTCTAACCAGCATCTGCTGACTGGCCAGCACCACTCCCTGCAGCCCCTAGCCAATCCGTGGCACTCTTCCAGCGAAGAGTTGAGACAGCCTTCCTCTCGTTGCCTTGTAAGATCTGGCAGGATCATATCTGAAGGTGGCAGGTCTGCAGGCAGACAGCGGTGTCCTGCCCTCAGGGCAAGCCTGATCCTCTTCCTAAATTCTCTACAGAGAGAGAGAAGCAGCAGGGATCTGATTAAAAAAGATAAAGAGCTAAAGGAAATAAATCTGCCAAGTCCAGCAGTACCGCTCAGCTGGGCACTGTGCTAAGAACTCCGGGGGGGGCAGAGCTTTCAGTCGAGCTCCGCCGTAATGTGGGTAATTGGCAGAGTAGCCGTCGCTTTGTGTCTGAGCGGCTGGGCTCTTCTGCTGCGTGTCCTTGCCCCAAAAGAAAAGCTCCTTGTTTACATCCCCCATGGGGCATGGTGATGTCAGCCACCGCGCATCTGACCACACCCATCGCCAGGCGACTCTGGCCACGCCTCTGCCCTGTTGGAAGAAACGAATCTGGTGCTCGGGTCAAACAAGCGTGGCCCCGAGCTACACCGGCCTCTACGATATGGCTCCAACCTCCCGTGCCGCGCTCCGGAAGCAAAGACCATGAGAGTGCCATGGGGACGTGTGGAACAAGGAGTGCAGAAAAGGGCTCTCCTCACCCTCATGCTCCCTTGCAAAACGCACCGGCCACCTCCTGTGCCAAAGCAAGAGAATGTGCCCGAGAGGTAGTGACGCTCCATGTGTGAGCTCTAGTCCCCACCACACATCTGCCTCTCGCTGCCTCCGGCATGGGCAGTGGAGTGGCTGGCATGGGCGCAGCCCGTCTCTTGGGGTGACCAGGGGAGCCAGATTTGCTAAACATGACTTCCTAGAATGAGAATCCACTAACTCCTGACAGGCCCCAGCGAATTCCTAAAGGAAGTGGGTCACCGGAATCTGCCTGCCATGCTGTGCCTGCAAGCGTACCTCTCTTTCTCTTGCTCTGCAAGCTCACGTCTCTGCTTCTCTCCTGCCTGCCCATATCCCTGTGCTGTCGCTCCCTTCCAACCCGATCTAGGGACCCCTCGCCTTCAAGCCCAACCAGGGGCGCTTCCATACCCATCTGTGTGACGCAGGCTCACAGCAGCTGCCGCCTTCTGGTTAGGTCCCCCAAGTGCCCGTCCCGGCCCACCTGGACAGCGGCGAGGTCATGTTCAGTTGCCGTGCCACATACGGCATTGCTGCTGCTCCCCCATCACACACCGCTGGGCTTCAACTCATCTACTTCTTAGGGAAACGTGACGGGCCCTGAGATAGCTTTGGGCAACTGGTACCTGCCCCAGAGCGTGCACCTGTGTGATAGGGAGAGGATGATGCTGTCCTTGATGACGAAGCAGAGGGAGATGGATTATCCCTCCAGTTCTGCTGGCAGGAGCGAATCAGACACCCTTGGCGGCTCAGTGCCGTTACTTTCTTTTCCATTCTATTTTCTGCCCGTGAACTACAGAAGCAGCCGCTGGGAGATGCGCTTTCAGAAGGACTTTGCATTAGTTTTGTGAAGGTGGCTAAGGCAAATCTGCTCGCTGCTGCTGGAAATCAAAGGCATCCGCTACCGTGTCACTGACTCTCACGGTGTCGCTTTAGAGACCCCACATTAAAAAGCCTGGTGCGGCTGAGGTCCCTGCATCTGGGAACACCGTGGTGGTGCCCTCGGTGCGGTGATGTGGGAGCCAGGCGCAGTAGCTTAATAATCGGTCCAGGAGAGTAGTTAGAACTCAGCAATTCAAAATTAAATTAACCCTCAGAACACCCCTGTGGGTGGATAATTACTATCCCCGTCTCACAGAGGGGGAAACTGAGGCAGGGGAGTGAAATGATTTACCCACAGGCCTGTCTGTGTGACAGCAGGATTAAAACGCAGATGGTCCCGGCTTCTCTTAGATCGCATCTCCCTCTAGCAGAGGTGACAGCATTGACCAGGTGGATGACACCCCGTGACAGCCATGCTTTGCTCCATTAGATTGCGTGGTCTCCTTTTGTGTCCCATTTATAACTGGGATAAATCCAGGCCGTCCCAAAGCAGCCTCGCTGTCCACACGCGGCTGTCCCCCAGCGATCGAGACTATCACTGTAACGTGGCGCAATGGTGTTTACGTGGCACTGGCTCTGAGCGACTGCAGCTACGCTCTGCCCGTGGGGAGCCGGGCCATGTGGCTTGGAGAGAAGGGGTTGGGAGTGGGTAGCGGTTCCTTTGTGGGTCAGAGAAGGCCCAGCTGCTGGGCAGGAGGGGGGTGCTGGCTGCTGGAGCGGAGGCCTGCCTGAAGTGGTTGGGATATCCCCATGCAGTCTCACAGGGGAGCTCGACCTCTCAGGAGGATCTGCTTTGCCGCAGTCGCTCAGCGGCGTATTTGCCGCCGTCACTAACCAGCTCGGTGTCTTTCTCTCCCAGTTGTCACCGACGAAACTCTGAGCTTCATCCAGAAAAGCCGCCGCCTGCTCGTCGTGCTGAGCCCCAACTACGTCCTTCAGGGCACACAAGCCCTTTTGGAGCTCAAAGCCGGGCTGGAGAACATGGTCTCCCAGGGCAGCATCCGGGTCATCCTGGTCCAGTACAAAGCCATCAAGAAGAGCAAGGTGAAGGAGCTGAAGCGGGCCAAGACTGCGCTCACTGTCATTAAGTGGAAAGGCGAGAAGTCCAAGTACCCACGGGGCAGGTTCTGGAAGCAGCTGCAGGTGGAGATGCCACTGAAGAAGAAGACCAGGCGCGCTACCATCAGTGAGCAGGAGCTTTCCAATTCCTCCCTGCGAGATGTTTGATAGAGGAGGGGGTAGCGAGGCTGGGGAGGGGACAAGAACGTGTCCTCTGAGGGTTTACAATGAAGGATTCCGTCGTGAGCATTTCAGAACGGCACCTCCCTACGGCGTTTCAAACTGCCCTGGTCAGAGAAGAGCTCACTGGCCACTGTTTCAAACGTGCCCCCTTTTATTTAGCTGGATAAGACTGATCAGCATTACATCAACTCTCAGGGGCTAAATATTTGCCATCCAGGAGGGGTGCAAGCACCTTTGGGGGAAGGGAGGCGTTTGCATGGGTCAGTGTTCTCACTCTCGGGATCTGACCTGAGCCCTGCCCCTGTATTCTGGGACCTTGATCCCCCCTTTCTCTCCTTATGACCTTTCATCCCTTCTGATTAGTGGCTCGTGGCGGTAGCCACTCCTCATAGAAGCACCGGGCCAGTTTGAACAAAGTCACCAGACTGGCTGTTATGCTTTCAGTAAGGATCCTTGGAGACGGGAGTGTCCACGTTGCTCATTCAGACACTCATGATTTCTGCTTCAGGATGGGACGTACACTACAATACATGTTCACACCTAGCACTCGGCTGGCCCGTACCGTTCCCGGACGTGTTCCCATGGGAACGACTCCCTTCAGGGACTTTACAAATGTGAAGCGATCGTCACAGAAATGTACTTATGTTTTGTTTTGAAGGTACTCTTGTGGTATTTGTTTTACAGCCCTTCTGGCAAAAGCTGGCCCAGCTCAGAAACTCATGGCAGTCTTCTGAGTTTCCAAGCCCCTGTGGTGCCCAATCCTCGGAATCGAGGGGAGTTTCTCCGTTAATACAGTGCCACAGATCCTGCCTTCACATGCACGTGACCCTTATTCGTAGAACAAGCTCAGGGACTTCACAAGGGTTGCAGACGGCTCCGCTTTACTGCTGAAGAGCAGCGTCCCTGTTCAACCTATGCTGCTGGGCATTGGAAAACACTGTGGAAGGAGTTAAAGGAGACATTTTGTTTCAAAACCCAAACCCAAACCACCTCTCTCCAAGTTCTGCCCACATCTACATGCCCTTGGTGCGTGAGTCAACCAGCACATCTGTTGCTGCCAGGCACGCTTGGGGTGGCACTTCGGAGAGCTCACATTCCACTGGGATGTCTGCACTTACTGCTCTCCCGGCCCAGAAGTGCAGCAGCGACAACATTGCTTGTATTTCACCGTATATAACAGGCAGACCTCAGCAGTTCTTGTTGAGACACCAGGGACTGACTCTGCACTAGGGTGACCAGATGTCCCGATTTTATAGGGACAGTCCCGATATTTGGGGGGTTTTCTTATATAGAAGACTATTACCCTCCACCCCCGTCCCCATTATTCACACTTGCTGTCTGGTCACCCTAGTCTGCACATACTTTCCAGATTTTCAGGGAAGGCTGAACGCCCCCTGCACAGATTTTTAAGGAGTATGAAGCAATAAAGCATTTTTATTTATTCTCTTGTCCTGATTTTTGGTTTTGTAGATCCACCCTTTTTAAAACAACCGTTATGGAAGTGTATTTGCCAACCTATGTTTTGTTTCTGAATTCCCACGCTCTGAAGTGAGAAGCACCAAGGACACTAGCAGGGCTGGATGTGCAAGAAGCAGTGCGACGCACAAGGGGAGCGGGTCTGGGCCACGGGCACATGTCTGACCGGTCCTGATAAGTGTCTTTCATGGTCTTAATAGTGCCCGTCGGTGCTGGGCCCCAGTGCACCAGTCCTGCCTGCCTTCCAGCTGTTCCTTCATGCTCTCACCCTGCTCCCCCCGGTGACGTCAGTGGTAAAGCCCCCCTGTCATCAGTGGCAGCAGGGTTAAGCCAGGAGCTTTTGAAAATTCCACTCTGGGCTGCTTTACCCTGGATTAGACAGGAGGCAGCGGCACTGGCTGGAATAGGCAAGGGCTTGGCGTGCTAAGCCACTGTGCTGGAGTGTAAGCCTTTCCCATTGTCAGCTCGCTGGGGCAAGCGTCTGTCTTATTACAGAGCCCAGCATCATTGGGCCTGGCTCTGGCTGGCGCTTTGAGACTCTGCTGTGATCGAAATGTTTAATATTAGAGGACAAATCAGTTCTCAGGGCAGGTCAGCTCTGCCCTGCTTTCCTAGGGAAGGAGGATTGGTTTTTCCATGTGTCTGTAGATTTGTTAATCATTTACTAGTGTCCTAAAATTCTCTGCCTCCCTTGAGGCACCTAGATGTCCTGGTACATGGGGGCATTTTTGCTTTATTCTGGAATTGAGCGTTACTCCTGGCAAATGCATGTACATTGTTTGTGGCTAAGATTGTAACTCTTGGTTGACCTGTAACTCGCCCTGTCACCCGAGTAGCGTCAGGCTATCCGGAGCTGCTCACAAGCTTGAGTACCAGCCTCAGGGCAGATTGTGAAGAAATGGCACAAACCCCAAACTGGTTGTGAGTGCTATACCTAACCATCTATCTAGTGTGAACTCAAGCACTGTGACAGCCTTAACATGCAGTCACAGACAGTCCCCGTGGGCAATCCGATCTATCGTGCCACCTAGGTAAGCTTGTCCTTGTGATACATGGTCCCTTACCCCCCAAAATCACAACAATATTCAGGTTACTCCCAGTCCCAAATGTCCAGTCACTGATCCCAGGTCAGTTGCACCCTATAGCTCACCAAAGCCAACACTTGTAGCCAATCCTATAATAAACAAACAAGATGTATTAAGTAAGGAAAGAAATGAAAGGTTAAAGCAGGTAACATACACACACAAATGGGTTCCGTCTTAGGTTCCGAAGGGGTAATAGAAGTTGCTGTAATATGCAAGTTCTATGTCCTTTAGGACTAACCCCGGCCAACCCCTGGGGAACTCTTGATTAGGCTTAGAAATCTTTGCCCCTAAGAGTTCAAGCCGCACAGAGCTGGGGATTTTTATTCCCTTCCTCCCCGAGTTCAAATTGATGGGATGAGTTTACACGCAGGTCTCCTCTGCTGGGAGGGCGGGGAAAAGGGGCGAATGCAATTAATGGCTTTGTTCTTTGATGTTTCACAATGGCTCATTTGGTTTCAATGGGCCTTCTTGCAGAGCGGGGCAGGGCCTAACCCTTTCTGCAGGAAGCCAGCATTTTACATGAGTTAAAGCTCCTTTCCTGTTTGATGACTTACACAGCTAGAGGTTTACAACGCCAACACTTAATGTGACCTTATAACATGGGCTACAGATGTTAAGCGAGATTAATACATGCAGCATTCTACAAATATTTCATAAAGTGTTAACACATTTTTATAAGTTTAATACCTATTTTAATAATCCTACCCCACAGCTGAGCCAGACAGGTTTCCAGCTCTGCATTCATCAGCGTTCAGTTGGGACCTAGGGGCCTTGGCATGAGCTGGCACCTGGTCTGCCAGCATCACAGCCCTGTGATGCCCATTGGTGAGACCGGGATGCACATTGTGGAGCCATTGTTAAAAAGAAACAGCTGGAATCTGTGCACTGTCCATCCAACTGGACAGGAATAGTTGTGCTGTGCTGGAGATACAGCCAAGGTCCCATTCCCGCAAAGCCTTTACGCACATACTTAGTTTTAAGCAAATGAATAGTCCTGGTGACTCCAAGTCCCAAGTGGCTTCCTGGAAGTCAACAGAACTGCTCATTTGCTTAGGATAAAGCAGGTATTTTGCTGTGCTGGGGCCGTCATCCACCGCTGGCTCTGCAGGAGGCAGTGTGGTTTCCTGCTGTCGTAAACTCCGTCTCCATGTTTTCACTTGTGATATAACCAGCACCTCACAGTTTATAAAACTTTGTAAAGCCAGGATTAACCTGTAATCAGGGCCGGCTCCAGGCACCAGCCCAGCAAGCAGGTGCTTGGGGCGGCACGTCGGGCTGTTCGGCGGCAATTCGGAGGCGGGTCCCTCTCGGAGGGAAGCACCTGCCACCGAATTACTGCCGAAGAAGAAAGCGGCGCGGTGGAGCTGCCGCCGGAGTGCCACCGATCGCAACTGCGGCTTTTTTTTTTCCCCGCCGCTTGGGGCGGCAAAAACCCTGGAGCCGGTCCTGCCTGTAACGTGCATCGTTTTGTCCCATTTTTTCCTGCTGGGGCTTTGGAAACATTATGCATCTCCTTGCTATAAACGTAGGCAGAGTTATCTTCAAGCACCTCTGACATCTGCATGCAGGATGGGAGGCCCCACATCACACTCCAAACACTTTTTGTTGTATTCTAAGTTGATTTAAAAAACAGCCTGCATGCATGAAATCTGAATGTCCCCATATCTCCCAGACATTAGCATCTTGCATCTCACCGCTGGCTTAGGTACCAGGAGATCCTTTGTTAATAGGGTGGGAGAGATTTATCTTAGGAAAGAAATCCCTGTGTTTAATTTTACTTGTCTGATTTAAAAAGTTTAAAACAAAAATAATGGACCAGATCCTCCTCTGGTGTAAGTCAGCGTAACTCCATCAACATCAATGATTCAAGATGCTTGTGCCCATTCCCCGACAGGATTACCAAGAGGCAGGCAATCTCCATCAATTCAATGAAGAATAAAAGCATGCAAGTTACCATTGACTGCAATGAGAGCTGTTAGGCCAGCGTTTGGCTTTTTGAATGTCTCATGCGTAGGGCAGATGCTGGGGCCCGTCCCAAATAAGCCTATCCACTTATTTATGAATGGCATTTGGTTCCCAGTGCAGGATTTTAGCACAGCTCGTACCTTTAATTTGGTGCGTTCATCTGACTCCGTGCTGTAACGTTACATTAGTCAATAGATAGCTAAATGTAAAGTCCTTCATTTTATCTCACTGCGGAGGAGGACCGGTGAAGGACATAAATCCACACCGTGTAGAGGTCAAGCATAGGAGTTTATTACACACAGCGCTGGCGGAGGGTCACCTGGCTTATTAGGCTCAGAGACACTATCAATCAATTGATTACAATGGAATATATAGATTTTCCATGGGCGGGGGAAAGTGACGGGGTAGGCAGTTCCACACCCCGGGATAGGTTTTGCAGCAAGACAAGATAGCACATTAGCCAATGGTTAAAAGGTTACATAATGTCTCCGCCCATGGTCTCAAGTTAGCAAGTTAACATTTAATTAGTATTTTGATAAAATGTTATTAGTATAAAATATATATGTTGAATTCTGATTTGGGGTCCATAGGAATGGAGCAACTCCTTTGATTGTCCAACAGGTACATTCCTAGGGGTTAAAGCAAAGAAACAGTGAACGTACATGACAGTATAGATTGTCTCCTTTATGTCTTAAGGCAGGGCATTGGTCCCTTGGAAGGGAGGTGGAAGGATGCCATATCTTTATACTCACATGTGCCAACTTTTCATAAACTCAAGGTTGGATCTGTGGGAAGACTGTTTTCCTACAGGAGAAACACAATAGGAACAGGGATCCTTTGTTTAATTTGAAACATTGGATGAAACATAATTATTCAGTTATTGCTTCAACATCTGGCATTTCTACTGACCAAGCATATCTTAGCAAAGGCAATGTTGTCTTGTTTACCCCAGCTTTCTCTTAGCTGATCACTATTAGCTAGGCCTCTGGTCTCCAGACCAAACTCTGGACTTTGGGTCTGAAAAAGAGCTGGCACAATCCATATACCAGGTTGTTACATAACATGCACATGGATTTTAACCCTTCAACTGGCTTTGCACACATTGGAATGGACTTTGCTTTCCATTTCATTTGCTGTTTTAAGGCCTTTTTCCATTCTACGTTTTCTCACTTGTGTGACGTATCAGTGTTGTTCGGTTATATATATATATATATATATATATATATATATATTTTACTTTTAAATAAAATGTTTATTTTCACTTTTGTATTTCAGTCTTTGCACAGTTCTCCTGAGTTTCATTTTACTCCATTTCTTCCTCAGCAAATATGTGTAGCCAAGGCGAAATGTTCTGTCCCGGTGGCAACATCTACTGTAAATAGAACCCTAGCGGGTGGAAGTCACCCTTGTGCAGAGACCCAGCATCATGAGGCCTAGGTACCACCTCAGTCACATGTATGCCATACAAATAGTGGTACCTATTCATGTTATAAATAGCACCCAAAGGCCCCAATCAGGGGCCCCCTTGTCGTAGGGGCTGCGCGCATGCACACAAACACACACACACACACACACAAAGTCCCTGCCCTGAAGAGCTTTCAGTCTAAAAAGACAAAAGGGAGATGGCATGGCTATTACCCCATTTTACAGATGGGGAAACCGAGGCACAGAGTAAGTGACATGCCCAAGGTCACACAGGAAGTCTGTGTCAGAGCTAGGAATTCATCCTTAATCAAAGTCAACCTCTCCCTTAGGCGCTTATTCTCCCATCATCCGTTTGTCTGGGAAGGCTTCTCATTCTGCTCAGGCTTACCTCTTTCCTATCTACATACTAGCAGGTTGTTGATGCACAAACTAGCCTTTCCAGACTGCTAGCCAAATGAATGCTTAGGTCACTAGACATACTCTAACTTTACAGCCT